CCCCAAGGGTGCCTGAAAAAAAAATAGTGCCTTGAATAAAACTTATAAAAACGACAGATATAAAATTACAAAATATTAAAATAAATAATAAAACTAACCGAGCAACTAAGTGTCGATAAAGAACTGGGACTCGGCGCCGAGTCCCATAGTTTCCGCATCCCTTTCCTTGTGCCACTGGACTCGGCGCTCAAGCAGAGCCTTACCTTGCGGACAACAACAGTCGTTTCTCTGCGCGATGTTTCTTCCTTGTCGCGGGTCACCCACCTCGGAGTTGATCTGCTGCCCACAGTTGGTGCCCACACTTGGAAGAGCAGTACACACACTTGGACGAGTGTGCATCTGGAAAAGGTTAGGTTACGATACCAACATCTAAACGGTCCTACGGAGAGTCTGGATCTCGATCTCGTGACACCAGTGTTCAGATACCATCCAGACCTAGGTCCATATCTGGTTGGGATGATGTCCGGGGGCACGTCCATCCGCCCTAATCATGGGATGTGTATGCTACCGCAAAAAATACACAGTACAAAATTCAGAGTCTTTCAGACCGCAACGTGGCAGTGCGGAGCGATTGCAAAAGCCAAAGAGGCAAAGATCTCATCGGACCCCAACGGCCTGAAATTTTCGCATCCTAGCTACGGGTGATATACAGACGACTTCGTGAGAGGCACTGTCGGCAGTGGAATTGACGCAGACGAACAACGCAACTTCAACAGTGGAAGCGACAGTAGTCTCTCTTTTCACTGGTGCAACGGCAGCCGACGCACACAAATTGACGACGGCTTCAAGTGTAGAGTGAGTGCCCCCAAATACAGGGGGAAGCGTGTAGGTTACCCCTCCATAATTTGTCACAGGGATGGCATGCCAGTTAATCAAAGCAATGATAAATATTATTTATTAATTAAATAATTTTGCCTCATCCGTCAGGAGTCCTTGTGAATCGCCACAGCACAGCACCCTCATCAAATTTCCTGCACACGCACATAAAAAAATTACAAATTAGAAGCCTAAAAAAATTGAGCAGGAAGAAGTCTTTTAGAAATTAGAAATTAAAAGTCTAAAAAAGTTGGGCACGAAAAAACAACAGGGTTCAACTTTGGGGTTTTTAGGGCATCCCACGCCACTCGAAAGAATGATAATAATATTCATAATGCAGGTTCGAACTTCGAAGTTTAGAAAAACTTTTTTTTTTTTTTTTTTTTTTTTTTTTTTTTTTGTTTGTTTGTTTCGGACGAGCCTAGCTCAGTCGGTACACCCACAAACTGTTGAAATACAGAGTCAATGCGGATCCAGAGTCCAGACAGATGAACAAAATAAATTTAATAAAATGATTTCTGAATTGCCTGGGGCCGGTCAGCTCAATCATTTATCTCAAGGCCGTTTTTTTTTTTTTTTGAAGAATCACGAATTGTGCTAGGAAGATGAGCAATAACGAACTTCAGCAATCAAACAGCATCATACACATGAGACCAGATAGTCGTGACCTCGAACCAATAGCAGAATTGCATCACGAGTTTCACCAAATAAGAGCACACCAAAAGCTCATAATTGTAAATGCTGGAATAGTCTCATCATCATCATCAACGAAGAACCAATGTTGATATCCTATCTGGCGCTCGGCGCCCAGACTACGAATGGCAGATCCTATCTAGCCTAGACTACAATGCTGCTGATGACGTCGACAGCTTCCCAAGTACGGGCAGAGATAGCGGCCAATGCCGCACGCTTCCAGCACCAGTTATGTCTCTCGCATCACTCACAACCTCGTTCCCCAACATACAGATGCCACATGCACCCAAGGACCACCCTGCGCCTCACCCAGCTCCCAGCAGCGCAGCTCAGCTATGGCTGCCTGCTCCCTCCAGCTTGCCCGTGAGCGCGTGAGCGCTAGCCAGCTTCAGCGCAGCAGTGCTTGCGAAGCATGCAGCCCACACCCGAATGTCGAATGCGGAGGCAGGCCCTTTGCTATATGGAAGTGGCCTGCCTGCGTTCTGTCCCAGGCTGCGCTGGGCCTTTCCCAAGAAGCTTCCGGTAGGCCCCGGTAGGCTGAGGCCCAGTCCGACACAAATCAGGCCCAGGGCCTGAGGTGGTTGCTTGTGCCCAACTGCCTTCGGCCTGTGTTTGGCCCTCACCCCGTATCCAGCCCAGGGCCTGCCTTCGATACATGCAAACAGGTGGCCCAGGGCCTGGGTTCTTTCAACCAACTGGTGCTGCGCAACTGCCTGAATTTCCTTAGATGCGTGCTGGTCGAAATCGGGGCCCTCAGGTCCTCTTCGAGCCTGCCTTCACTTAGTGCGGCCGACGTGCTGCTAGACAGGGCCTAAAAAGGGGCTCATCGAGGCTCTGGCCTCCCAAATTGTCTTTTTTCTTAAAAAAAGTCAAAATAAAAATAAAGGGTGTCCTTTTATAAAGTTTTATTCCTGCTGGAAACGGGGTCTAGCGTCCCTTTTTTTTTTTTTTTTTTTTTTTTTTTTTGGTCTAGCTGTGAGGATTGAGCCCCCAAAGGGGCCTTGCCGTGATGTACATGTTCTGGGCTAAGGCCCCCAGCAAGCCTCGTGCCTGCCCTAAGTCAAGGCGGGCCAGCAAATCAACCAGAGCCCCTTTTGTTCAACATTTCACGAAGTGGGGTCCATACAGTTGCCGCACGACAGTTGGTTGGAGTGCACCAAGTACCAGATCTCTGCAAATGCAGAAGGACCAGGGCCCCAGAATTACTTAGGCCCTGGGCGCATAAACGTGAGGCCGACATTGCATGCTGGGCATAGAGGCCGAAAATGCCAATGAGAAACCGGTCCACTATCTGAATCTGGATGCAGGCCTTTATGAAAGAGGCGCAACTGTATTACGTGGGCCCCAACCGCATTGGGCCTGGGTACAGGTACTGGGGCCCAGGCGCAGGCTCAAGGGAGGCCGCCTACACGCAATACTGGCATATAGGCAGAGCGGGCGAGTGGGCAGGGATCTTGGCCATTGCGAGCAAGGCCGGCACGCTGTGCATTTGCGAGGTGCTGCGCTGCACTAGGCTGAGAGAAGGCAGGCTGGCGCTAAGCGGTAGGGCGCAGCCTGGGCGCAGGGCGCTGGCAGCCATAGCCGGGCTGCATGAGGGCGCTGGAGGAGGTGAGGGCGAAGGTGGTTCTTCGGGAAGTGAAGGGCGCGGTGTGGGATAAGAAGGGAGAGTGAGGGACAAGAGAGAGTGACGTACCTGGTGGAAGAGGAGGTCGGCATTGGTGTTGACGTCATCACTAGCTGGTCGTCAAGTCGTCTGGTTGCTTCCATGACTGTAGTTGTAGGATAGGCAGTAGAGTAGATAGGGCGCCTGGCGCCATTCAAGAGAGAACGGGTTATGTTGTTGCTGTTGCCCGATTGGGCTTGGACATTGACTCACGACTTTTGCTGTATCGTTCTCAAACGGATGACTACTTGGTTCCAATGTGTTATCTGCTGTTGCTTTGACTACCTGGACTTCAGTGTGATTTGCAATTGGGATTTCTTTGCTTCGTCCACATTCATGTTCCTTGCAATTTGGTATCGGAGCTGGTTCGATTCGCCACTTACCTTGGTGCGCTGGCGTTGTACAGACTTGGTGCGTTGACGATGCTTCTTCGCAGTTGGTTCTTGTGACGTCAGGCTGAATCTAGGCGGACGACCTGGGTAGAGAGGTGTGCGCCGGAAGGCTGTACGGCTTGGGATGCCGTGGCGACGGCGGAATGTATGATTGGTGATGAGAGCATGCTGATGTGGCACTGCATTGCGTTGTGGGTGGTACCGAGGCTACGACCGGTCATCAAATGCACACTCAGCTCAATTGGTGAGAAATCTGTGGTTGGGGGCAGCTATCTACAGGTACGTTGTTCCCTTACCTTATCTACCCTCTCAATCTCTTCTTACCGCAAGGAAGTGAGTCCAACTTGAGAGTCCTCTCTTTTGGTGAGGTGTCGTGAGCGCTCTACCTTGAGAGACGACAATCTTCCCGGTGGCGCATCTGGAAGGAGAAAGGGCAGTGCCTCTGAAGGGCCCTGGTCGAAACACATGGGTCACGGTCACCATGCCAACCCAATGGGATTAGTACACGCATGCGATGGCTGCTTTGTCCATTGGGGCTCTTTTGCTGCGCTGATAGAGGGGTGTGCGGACTGAACAGGCTTATGCAGACGCTCCCAGACCGTCTATAAACATTTCTGGATGGGGTTCCGATCTGACCACTGGCTGTGATCATCGTCCTGATTGCGACGTTAAATAATTCCTGAGCGACCTTGGGGGCAGTCCTTAAATAGGCCTCTTGATCAGCCAGATCAGTCGGACGCACGGCTCGTTGCACGCAAGGATAAAGAAAGGGCAAGCCTGGTCATAAGCATGCACCTGGGGCACAGGGGTGGGGGCGACATTGCACACCTATGACACTGCTGCTCACTGATGCTCATCGGTATGTTGGATTGAGGGGAGGGTAGGTTCCAATTGGTGCTCAACTGCAAACACAACCATATCCACTGTGCATACATCTGCAACATAATTTAGTTTTATTTTTGATTAGTTGGTTGACAGACTGCTAACACCTCACAGACAGCTTAGTTTAGGACTGTAGTACACTCCCATATCCAGTTCTATGTTAAGTAGGGACCTGCCGGACACATTTATTTTAGAAAATTAGGTGCCGGTCAGACACATGCTGTGGTGGGACTCCAGCAGGGGGTTGTAGTGCAGATAGTGTTTGCCTAACTGGTGAGTGGGTCAGATGCCGATGAGGGAAGAGTTGATGATGTAAGGCTGACACGTTCGAGATCACTTAGGATCCCGCACGTGTATCAGGCCCTACGGCCGGGAGGCGAAAGACGGCTTCGTGCCGAAGTTGGAGCCCATGCTTATGCAGCAGCGAGGGAAACAGCACTAGCTGCAAGTCAGGCATTGGCAGCAGCAATGGCTACCGCGGCAGCATCCTCTGCTGCATCCTCGTCTGGGACCCAGTTGGGGATGCCCTCTGGGCCCATGGGTACTTCCGGATCGGTAGGTTCCAATCAGTCCACAAGTCAAATGGCGGGCTCGCAGTTCAGTCCGTTGACCCCATGCGGCAGGGAGCTACTAGAGCTCCAACAAGTCGAGAGGATCCGCGCTCGGTTAGAGAGGGAACTAAAGCAAGCTACCGATAGAGAAAGAGAAATTAAAAATAGAACAGCCAGGCTTGATACGTTAGAGGCAGACAAAGCTGCATTAGAGGAGTTAGATGAGTTAGCAATGATTGACGCTATGAAAGTGTTAAAGTCCAGCATACTGTCATTGCATGCGCATGTGGACAACAGACTGAATTTCATGCAGAACTCCTTGGACCAAATCTTGGACCTTTTGCAAAGGCCAGGATTACGGCCAGCAGCACAGTCGCCGTTGCCGTTAACGGCGATGTCAGGCCCTTTTCCGGTACAAGCGGGCACACAGCCAAGTGGTACGTCTGCAGCAGCCGCACAGACTATTGCTTCTTCTTCTTCTGGTCCAGCGGCTGGAGCTATACCACAGCCGCAACAAACTGTTCCACCACAGAGACAACAGCAAAGTCCATGGTACCCAAAGACCCCAATGAAACCGCCCCTTGCCTTCTCCGGTGAGAAGAAGGACGAGGAACTCAACACTTGGTTGAGAACAGTTCCAATGTGGGTAAGGGCAAAGAGGACGTTGCAGGAGGAGGAGGTGATTACTGCTGCATCTTACCTTGAGGGTAAGGCAGCCAAATGGCTAGATGGGATAGTAGCGAAGGCCGGGTTTGGACGACGTATGGCAGATTGGGGTAAAACCCTCACTTTAGAGGAGTTCTTGGACATGGTAGAAGCTCGCTGGCATAATCCACAGCAGACACTAATTGCCACTGACGCGATGTTGAGACTGGACCAGCGTAGGTACAAGTCTGTCAGAGAGCTAATGTCTACTGTAAAGAACCTCATCGTCGTGCCCGGTATAACGCTATGATGACCAGGTCTTATTGACCATGTTTCTAAGATGTCTGCCTGAGAATCTCAAGACCTTACTGGCCAGCGAGGCTCGCCTCGAGTATCATTCCTTTGAGACCTTCTCTAGAAAGGCCTTAGATTTGGAGGCTAGCCTAGGAAGTGCTCAACCTACTCCAGTAGACGGGAGGAAGAAGAAGAGTCCACAGGAGTGGAAGAAGAAACGGAGTCGATTGATGATGGTTGAGTCTGGTGGGACCCAAACCGAGATCGATGAGCTTTCTACCTGATGGAAAGTTAAGAGTACGACGGCGAGGAAATCGCTGAGGGTAGCACCCTCGCCGCAGTAGTAAAGACTAAGGCAGGTGGCCGAGGAAAGGGCCATCAAAAGAGTCAAGGGCATACCGCCTCCAATCAGTCCAAAGTAGCAGATTGGGTTAAGGCAGGTCTTGATCAGGAAGTGTGGCGCGACCGCCGAGTGCGTGGTGCTTGCATAAACTGTGGTGACTACGGACACACCCAATACAAGTGCAAGAACATAAAGGTCATGCAGAAGATACCCCCTAAGGGAGGGGTGCCTTCTTCCCAGGCTTCCAGCTCGGGAAACACTTGAGGCCAGTGGAAGTTTTAGCTGCTTCTACTCATGGTGAAGTGGGCCAGATACCCTCCCCACTTCATGAGATGGCCATAGCTAATGACTCTTTAGTCACCCTGCAGACTCGTCTAGACCAAACTATGCTCTGTACGTTGGATGTGTCTGAGGCCTTAGAAGATTTAGAAAGTGAGTGGTCAAGCAAGGACCGTCGCGAATCTTGGGTGGCACTAAGTAGAGGTCCTAGAGGGGAACATTTCGTCGTTGAAGTTGTTGTTGGAGGCCACAAATGTGGTGCCTTCGTAGACATCGGCTCCACGCAGAATTACATAAGTCGCGACTGTTTGGAAAGGCTGCGCCTAGAGGACCGGGTACAACACCTTAGTCTTCCGCCGTGCACAACAAACCCGCGGTCGGATAAGACCACCGTCAGCATTCGCGCAGCGCCCGCCTTCGATGCCTTGAGATGTGCAAAGCCTCGCCCCGTCCCTCTGCGCCGGCCTCGTCATGCTACCACCCCAAAGGCAAGTCCGGCCGCGCGTGACGAACCGAAGGCGGGATAAGACCGTTGTTGACATCCACGCATCCCCCGCCTTCGATCACGAAACACAGCACCAGCATCACGCGCGGTCGGCCGTGATCCACCCTCGGCAGCCAGAATGCGCCGCGCCGTCGCGATGGGTACCCCCATGACGCCGAATCGTCCCATACATTACGGAATGGTGCATCACGCGCAGTCCCGCGGCCCCCGTTGCGCCTCCCGCCTTCGATCACGAAACAC